CCTGCGGTGACTGCCCTGCTCGATTTCCTACTACCTCTACTCATGCTAGCCTGCTACACCTCACTCTCTCTATCCATGTGTCACTCACAGGATGCTGTTTGAAGACTCTGCTTCACACAGGCCTCCTCGGCTAACACCAGGTGAGAACTGCCAGTCCCCACCGTCGTCCTCTCTCTTCTCGACCACGTCCACACTTGGCCATCCTGCTTCCCTGCTAGTGCTGGCCAGCTATGGCTGGCACTGCGGCTGCTTCTTCTTCCCTCCTCCAGCGCGCTGTGCACCAGTTCTCCCGCATCCAGCATCCTGCCCAAATGTGCAGTGAGCAGCAGGCTCCCTTCTTTTGTCCTCTTCTGGAGGCTGCGTCCAGACCCAGTAGACAGTGCCCGTGTCTTTCCTACTGGGTCTGAGTTCTCAGGCCCAGACATTTCCATGCTGGCCTTTCTGAGGACCGGCTGCATTTCCCTCTGGCCCATGTAGTAGGGAAGCCCGCGTCGTTTTTGGGGGAACCTTGAGGCTCACTGAGACCCGGAGCTTCGCACCTCGACTCCCTGATCAATCAAGGGTCCATTCTATTCTAGGCCAGTTTCCAAAGATCAAATGACTTACCGACCTTCCTCCCCCGCCCCCCAAGCGACCCCTCATTCAAGGCTCTAGTCTGTTCTGGGCAACAAACGACAGACCTCCGTTTTCTAATTTTTTTCATAGCGAACGCCAACCGACCTTCACTAAGTGTCCCGCCAACGCCCACCAAACTGCTAGCCCCCCTTTCAAGCTTCCTTCTTATTGTACTGTCGAGGTGTCAATCCAGCGTTTTTTAAGGATGGCTTCTTCTAGGCAAACCTASTGATTGTCTTTGCACTCCCAACTCCTGTACCACTGAGTCACTGACTACTGTAACTACTGTTAGGATTGCCTACCTAACGTTCCGATGTCAGCTTTTGAAAAGAAAGTTTAAGAAAGGTTAATTAAGAACATATTTTTTCCTTGTGAGGAATTGCCAGCAAGTTACGAAGTTAGGTTTTTTTTCCTAGTGGGACTGTGGGAGTGCATAGAACCAATAGTCAGCTGACTAAGTAATAATGTACTTGGTCATGCAATTCGACCGCAGGCATGGTTAACTGCCTGAGGCCTGATGTTAGTTACGCCCAGGTATAGGAGCGCACACAGAACAAGCTGATGACTATAGATGCACGGTCTAAAGTGCGAAATTCGTTTGGGCTGCAGGGACTTTTGTGTAATTGATTCAGAAACATGAGGCAACCATCAGGTTGCGGTTACCCTCAGCCTCAGGCGCATTAGCGTCTATGAATGAATTCTCGATGTCGAGTTACCGTTGGTAATTGTTTCATATGAGAGCCATGGTAACCGTAACTTTTAGGATAGCAGGGCGGAAACTAAAACCATGATTTACCCAGGTTCAACTGACGGAGTCCAGAGGTCAGTTGACTCCAGGTATAGAAACCCATGCAGACTTTTGTTTTGTTGTTGTTGTTGTTGTTGTTGTTGTTGTTGTTGTTGTTGTTGTTGTTTGGTACCTTTTGCCCTCTGCTCTCTTTTGGGGGGAAAATATGACCTAAGGGCCATTGCTCCGTTGTGACAATGGTCCTGCTGGGTCGGTGATTTGATTTGTCTAGGAGAGCATGGTGAGGTCACACGGCTCTCAGTGTGGCTTCTGTACGCCCGGATTCATCATGTCGATGTACTCGTTGCTGCAAGCGAGCTCGTCTAAGCCCAGCGAGGAGGAAATTGAGGATAATCTGGCAGGTAATCTCTGCAGATGCACGGGGTACCGGCCAATCGTGGATGCATTTCGACATTTTGCAGGAATAGGAAACACCAATACGTCTGCTGCTGCCATCTCCCATGGCGCCAAAGAGTCTGAACGTGTCTGCAAAGCTGGTGAAGGAGGTTGCAGCGATAATGCAGCAAAGAGGGCGGAGGAGTCCTCAGAAGCTGCCAGCTCAGAAACAGAAGACGGAAGTGCGCAAGGCCGAGTAGCTGAGGGCGCGTCAATCCAAAACAGTGATTCAATGAAGTGCCCAGTTACAAATCACGCTTGCCCGAATCATGGCCGGTCATCAGTCGATGGCATTGGCGACATTGAGGGAGATCAACAAAACCCAGGTAAACATGGGGACCTTCATTTTCCACGAGAATTGGTGGCGCGAAAGGCCCAACCCTTACTCATGAGGAGCTGGATTTCTGAAGGGCCAGTATGGGTCCGCCCGACACGGTTTGCAGACCTGCTCCGCATCAAGGCGATGTACCCTCAGGCAAGGTTGGTTGTAGGCAGTACTGAAGTCGGCGTCGAATTGAGGTTCAAACATCTGAGCTGCCCATTGCTGGTGGGTGTGACGCATGTGGCGGAGTTGAATGAGGTGGAGGTCACCGAGGAGGGGCTGAGGATCGGCGCGGCGGTCACGCTGTCACATCTGGAGGCTGTTCTGAAAGAGCTCTTGGAGGACGGAGGAAGCGGCACGCGGAAATGGGAGAAGTGGAGAATGGAGGGGTGTGCGGCCCTTCTTCATCAGCTGCACTGGTTTGCCGGTCGCCAAATTCGGAATGTCGCATCTGTTGGAGGAAACATCGTCACTGCGAGTCCGATCTCTGACTTGAACCCTGTATGGATGGCGACGGCTTCTGTCTTTGAGCTGGAGGCTGTCGCCGACGGTGAGCAGGAACAAAGTAGAAAGCGCGAGGTTCCAGCCTCTGGTTTCTTTCTCGGTTACAGGAGAGTCGACCTAAGGGAAAAGGAAATTCTGAGGTCTGTTTTGCTTCCATGGACCAGAAGGTGGGAATTTGTGAAGGAGTTCAAGCAATGCCATCGGCGGGATGATGACATTGCGATAGTGAATGCGGGCATGAGGGTGAAACTGCGAAAAGGCGAGGAGGGAGAGCACGAAGACTGGGTGGTAGAGGATGCCTGTCTTGTGTATGGAGGTGTGGGGCCGATCCCCATTGCTGCAAATAGAACAGTGAGAGGACTCATTGGACGGCGATGGACTCCTGACACGCTGACCACCGCACTCGCAAACCTTTCGGATGACGTGGTGATCACGAAAGATGCTCCCGGTGGAATGGTGGAATTCCGGAAGTCGTTGGCCGCAAGCTTTCTATTCAAGTTCTTCGTCCATGTCGCGATGAAGATGGAGCGCGAGGGAGAAAATGTCATCAGCCTCCCTTGGAACGAGCACCGAAGCGCAGCTTCCCCGTATATCCGGTCCCCAAGCCACGGGATGCAGTACTACGATAATGGGGGACCGGTGTCGCCCGAGGGCGCCGTGGGAGCAGCGTCTCCACATCTGTCTGGTGCTTTACACTGCACTGGGGAGGCACAGTATGCGGATGATATGCCCTTTCCGGTTGATGGCCTGCATGCTGAGCTCGTACTGAGCACGAGGCCGCATGCGCGAATCAAAGGAGTGGATCTGGCAGCCGCCGTGATTGTTCCCGGGTTCGTTGGTTATTACGGTGCAGATGATATTCCTGGGAAGAACGATATCGGGCCCGTTCTCCATGACGAGGAGTGCTTTGCGTCAAAGGTCGTCACTTGTGTTGGGCAGGTCATCGGGGTCATCGTTGCCGAAACAGCTATGGCTGCCAAACTTGCTGCTCATCGTGTTGTCGTGACTTACGAAGATCTTCCGGCTTGCATCACCATTGATGAGGCGATCAAGGCGAACTTGTATCACACCCCAGCGCCGCTTACAGTCACAAAAGGTGACGTGGATGCCTGCTTCTCGAGCGGAGAGTGCGATTATGTCATTGAGGGCGTGGCCAAAATGGGAGGCCAGGAGCACTTCTACCTGGAGCCTAATTCAACCTTTGTCGTGCCTGTTGATGGAGGAGCGGAAATGCACTGCGTTTCATCCACTCAGGTAACTCTCCCGCTTCGACCATTCGTTGCATGTGACCTTTCGTTTGACAGTGTGGTCATTTGTTTGCTGTCTGTCTTTTCAGCTCTCATCACCCTTGACATACAACCCCGTGGGGCATTTAGCGTTGACATCCCTGGCCGCAATTTCGGCATTTTTTGAACCGCTGAAATTGTCGGGGCTTAGCAGCTTACCGCCAGTAGGACCTGATAAGTACGGTTCCAAAAGTGTCGAAATTGCGGTCAGGAGCATTGCTCACAAATGGCGATTGCTATCGATACCCGCTACTCTGATAGACCTGTAAAAATGTTTCAACTTTCGTCTTTTTCTTCTTTTTTTTTTTTGGATGGGGGGGAACTTTTTTTTGATTTTTTTTGGGTAATTAAAAATTTAAGATTGAAGCATAGTTGCCCCGGACACAGACATCCGGACATCCGGACACATGTACCGGACCTGTGTCCGGATAAAACCAGACACGTAACCGAACATACGGACAACCAGACCCAGACAGTCCGGTTGGGTGCACCAATGTCCGGTTGTCAGGTCAAAAAAAAAAAAAAAAAAAAAAAAAAAAAAAC